TCCCCGTGGAGCAGGGAGCCGGACGTGGGGTTCGATCCCAGGACTCTGGGACCATGACCTGAGCCGAAGGCAGACACTCAACGACTGAGCCACCCAGGCGCCCCACTATTGAGGACTTTCTGATCACTCTTTGTAATTATCACGAGTAAGTTTTATGCTGTTTCAAAAGCAATTTTTTTTTCCAGTTGTCATTTCCTGCTTCTTTGGCTCTGATGATTCATAAAGTAGGCTATAAATCTCATTTAGCTCTTGTTTTTATTTAGCTGAAATGTTGAGGGGCAAGGGAAAGAAAGGCTACTTATAAATCTTGTATCTCTCTGGAAACACAACTTGCATTTTCTTTCATCTTATTTACTTGACTCCAAATATGAAAAACAACTTTGAAGCACAAAGAGAAATTTACTTGAATTTACTCTCCTTTAGTGAAGGTAAGGGGCAATAGGCGCAGCTTTCTAATTTACTTTTTGAATATTACCCACCACTAACCATCACCATATTAAAAACCATTAAACTACCGAAGAACCAAATTAGCTTATTATTTAATACCTTCAACAAATGTTTAGTGAGTGGCTACTATGTCCCAGGTGCACTGCTCTAATTACTAAGGATACGGAAGTAAACAAAACAAATAAAAACCCCTGCCTTCATGGAGTTTAAATCCTGTAAGGGTAAAGAAAAAGAATAGACAAATTATACAGAATGTTAGATAATAATAAGACCTATGAGGGAAAAAAAACAGGAAAGGGAAATAAAGAGTGTGTTGGGGGTAATGGTGTTATCATTTTAAATAGGGTTGTCTGGAAATGCCTCTTTGAAAAGACGGTATTTTAATCAAGATCTGTAAGCCATGCAATTATCAGGGGTAGAACATTCCAGGCAGAGGGAACAACAAGCATAAAAGCTCAGAGGCAGGAGAATATGTTGTATGTCTGAAGAAGAATTAAGAGGCCAGAATGACCAAGGGTGCCTGGGTGGCTCAGTCAGGTAAGCATCCAACTCTTTTTTTTTTTTTTTTAAGATTTTATTTATTTGTTTGAGAGAGAGAGAGCATGAGAAGGGAGGTGGGGGGAGAAGCAGAGGGAGAGAGAGAAGCAGATTCCCCACTGAGCAAGGAACCCGATGTGGGACTTGATCCCAGGACCCTGGCATCATGACCTGAGCTGAAGGCAGCCACTTAACCAACTGAGCCACCCAGGTGCCCAGCATCGCAACCCTTGATCTCAGCTTTTTTTTTCTTTTTTAAAGATTTTATTTATTTGACAGAGAGAGACACAGCAAGAGAGGGAACACAAGCAGGGGGAATGGGATAGGGAGAAGCAGGCCTCCCGCGGAGCAGGGAGCCCGATGCGGGGCTCGATCCCAGGACTCTGGGATCTCGACCTGAGCCGAAGGCAGATGCTTAACGACTGAGCCACCCAGGCGCCCCTCAGCTCAGGTCTTGATCTCAGGGTTGTGAGTTAAAGCCCGGTACTGGGCTCCATGCTGGGTGTGGAGCCTACTTAAAAACAATCAAAAAACAAAAAAACCCAAGAGGCCAGATTGACCAGAGTAAAAGGAATAAGATGAAAGAGGATAGGCAACAATTCTTCTAAGGTTCCTTTCTGGCTTTTCACCAAGACATTTCTAGAAACTTCTTTCTTTCTGAGGTATAGTTTTTAATTATTTTGTAGATTTAGCAAATGCCATAGATATCACCTAGTGACTGCTTGAGGTTCATAACCTTTGTTGTGCCATAGACTCCCTTTGGCAGCTGGTGAAGCCCATAAACACCCTTCTCAGAGTAATGCTTTGAAGTGCGTAAAATAAAAAATATAAAATTATACAAGAAACTAACTATAAAGGGGCGCCTGGGTGGCTCAGTCGTTAAGCGTCTGCCTTCAGCTCAGGTCATGATCCCAGGGTCCTGGGATCGAGCCCCACATAGGGCTCCCTGCTCAGTGGGAAGCCTGCTTCTCCCTCTCCTCCATTTGTGTTCCCTCTCTCGCTGTGTCTCTCTCTGTCAAATAAATGAATAAAATCTTAAAAAAAAAAAAAGAGGGCGCCTGGGTGGCTCAGTTGGTTAAGCGACTGCCTTCGGCTCAGGTCATGATCCTGGAGTCCCAGCACTGAGTCCCACATCGGG